CTATCACCCTGCTAAATATATCGCACAAATCTTCCTCGTGCCAACAGGCATAATCAGCTGGTCAGGCAAGTTAACGCACGATTCTAAAACAAGTGCGTGTGTACACCTGATCTGGCACTGGAATGAAGCTCATTTTTCTAAAAAGAGATTTGTAGTGCAACCACTGAAAACAAACTTGCGCTTAATATTCGTAACTTATTTTCGAGTGTTTCTCACCATCAGGGATGGGCAAAATACATGCAAATATGTATCGAAATACAAATACAAAATACTTCGTCAAAAATGTATTTCATTACAAATCTAATTACATTTCCAAAAAAGCATTTAAGTACAAGATACAAATACAACCATGGTCTCCTCCAAATACTTTTCCAAGTACATTCCTCAAAATTTGCGTCAGCGACATCAGGGCACCTGCAACGGGTTTCTGAGTATTTCATTTTAATTTTGCCAGAGACAATAAATTTGAGGGATGTATTTTCGCCCACAAATTTGTATTTAATTACAACTGTATTTGAAATACCCACGTTTTAGTATTTAAATACACACGTCAAATGCATTACCCAATTCGTAATTAAATACAAATGCAAAATACACAAAGTATTTAAAATACGTATTTCAAATACTTGTATTTGAAATACTGCCCATCCCTGCTCACCATCAATATACAAACCCAGAAAAAAAGATAAAACATGCATGAACGATACGTGGGGACAGATGCTCCTACCGCGGCGGCCGTCGAGCGGCGGGGATGGTGGAGAAGCTTCAAAGATGGCGCCGAGCCTCTGATAGTACCCGTGGCCGCCGAGAGATGGCGCTAATAATGAATAAGGTCTATTACAGGGGCAAAGTATAAAGAAAGGAGGAATACGGGCATATACCAGTTATTTTTTTTTATATCTGTTTACATTGATCGCCCTTTTGACATTGCTGGATTCGGATAGTACTTCAATGGACTCCACTGGTGGTATCTGTAGACTTGGCTATAATATCCACGAAGCAATGAGCAATAAACGTAAGTAAAGGTGTCTAGACCGCTATTATTCCGTTATGGACAATTTACGTTTACAGGCTCTAAAATTGTGATTTGAGCCAAACCAAATTGTCCTGAAGCTACAATATCATAAGCTTTTCTCACGAAAACTGTCACCCTCCACAGGTTCCACATATTGGGCAGGAGATCGAACTATAGGGGGCGCTTTATCGAGGTTGTTGTCCCCACAGCCCGATGTTTACCAACACAGCATAACAAAGAAATTGAACCTAGTCATGCACGGCCTGGACACGAGCGCTTCGCTCTGACCAGTGCTTTGGTCGCACGAGGAGCGGCCTTCGAATCGTCATCTTTGATATTGCTGATCAAAAACAAACAATAAAATTCGGTTTGTTGTCCCCGCAGCTGAAGAGTGCCACTAGAGGCGTGACTGTTCGATCTCCTCCCCAATTCTGCAACTAGTGCAGCATCTTCCACTGGACAGCCGTTCGAATTATTGCTGTTCCTCCTGTCCGTCGTCGTGTGCTTTAAAAGCCGGAAAAGCGAAGGGGAAAAAATAACAACGCGGTCGGGTGTAGTCACGTGACTGCTCCGAGCAGTTGAGTTTTTTGGCTTCATTAAAATATACGTAATTCTGCAGCAAAATATTAATTAAGTAGTCTCCTTACATTATATTAAATCGCATGGCAAAATACAAATTGAGGGGTGTGTTGCAGCTGATAACTTCGGTCCGACATCGACTCTTAGAAAAGATAAAGGCGCCCGACAACAGCACATCTCCAGAATCTACACCATATGGCCACCCTATGGCATAGTGGCCTAGAACGGGGCAGTGGGCTCACCGCGCCCGCCTGCTGAGGTGGTTCATGTCAAAATTGAGAGATGGCGCTCCGGTCGACTCCTCCTGAAGCCTTCCCGCACGCTTCAGCGATTGCGTGCGTATCAGCGCGTTTGTGCGTAGTAGGTGTTTTCTTCGACAGGTAGCTAACAAGATTCTGAAAAAAATCGCGGGAATTGCGTCGGCCGAAAGCATTGGTATCTCACATTGACGCGCACCTCTTCACCGTTGATGACGTGCACGTAACCTCTAATTACGTGCTGTGGTTCGAAATGTAATTCGCACACAGCAGGGGGGGGGGGGGGGGGGGGGGGGGGGGGTCTCCGCTCACCCAACGTCTTGTCCGCTCAATGCAAGTTATGAGGGAGTTTTCGTAGATCGTTTTCGCCGTCTCGCAACGCCCTCCGCAACCCGCTACGATACCCAGAACTCTACAGTGAAGGCCATCGGCGCGCAGGCGCAGTAGCGGCTAGAACAACTGTTTTCTGAAACAGTGTAATGGAAGGATTTTTTAGAGCGCAGCTCTTAGGGGCCCGTTTCCGGCGTGAGCGGCGTCGGCGTCGCCGTCGCCGTCGGCGTAACCGCGAGGTCACGTGACCCACCCAGGTCACGTGACACCCCCTTGAGGTCACGTGACCCCCTTAGGTCACGTGACCCTCTGAGGTCACGTGACCCCTTGAGGTCACGTGACCCCCAGAAGTCACGTGACCGCCTTGAGGTCACGTGACCCCCTAAGGTCATGTAACTCTTCAGGTCACGTGACCCCCGAGGTCACGTGACCCCCAAAGGTCACGTGAGCCCCTGAGGTCACGTGACCCCATGAAGTACGTGACCCCCTTGAGGTCACGTGACCTCAAGGAGTCACCTATCCCTCAGTACGCTTCCATCTTCCTCCTCAAGAGCTGCGCTCTAACCGGCGTTACAGGGAATTGTAAACGGCTTTCATTTTTTTTTTATAAATAATGCCTGTTCCTGTAAATGGCTCGAGGCTTGGCGGAACAGAACCTTTCCGGACATCCGATATTGCGGACTGCAGACGTGCTGAAAGTGAAGACATGAAGTACAGGGGGAACAGCGCACCCGCAAAACAGTAACTCAAACGTTAATTAAACAACGTTGATTGAAAAAAAAAATCTGCACAGCCACGTGACTTTTGGTATCTTTCCCCTCCTCTATATTTCTTCTTCCTCCCCAGTCCACTTTCGGTTTCGGTTTCCGGAAACCGTCATTCAAAATTCGTACAAAAGCAGCCGCTTCGGTGGCTGGAACGACTAGGTCATCCTCTCGACTTCAGCCTCGCCGTAGCTTTGCTGGTCCCAAGACGAAAGGCGTCACGATTGCGTTGGATGTCACATGCTCTCCGATGGCTGTTCTCCGAGCGCTTGCCAGAGTGGGCCGTTTATAACAAAAAAAGACAGCCACCAGGCTCAAGATACAAACGTGCGATTACCATTTACGGATATTGTTGATCATATTCAACCTATTTTTGAACACGACGGGTATATTTCATATTTCGTTGAAGTATCCCTTTAACCATGTACTGTATGTTATATACAATATGTTGTGATTGTGTATTGGTTTCGAATCCTCTTCTGCTCTTTATTTCAAGCTGCCCTTACATGCACCATGAAGATACCGAAGAGGTCTCCAATTGAAGGACAACTACTGTAAGCACACGCATGGAGGGGCATCTAGACTGCCAGCACAAGGACAACTATAATGTAAAATTTCTCAAAACTTAAAGCCCAAGGCATGCCTTCTTCCAATAAAGGTATTGTAGCGAAACTTCTTAATTGGTTCATTTGTTCAGCTGTCATCTATAGGAACAGCTGACCTCACAGAAACAAAATCCTTGCAATGAGAAGTACACATCGTGTGCTCTTATTCTTTTGCAAACCATGAACTCTTGTAGGTTTTCTCTAAGGATGAAAAATTATACAGGTTTTTATATCAAATGACTGAGCCATGAACTCTCCATACCAATCTTACTCCAAGAGCTTCAAGTGACTTCGGCTTGCTTGAACATGGAAGTTGTTCCCAATAACGAACGAAGCACTAGACCTTTCTGTCTTTTTGTAGGCCATAGCTACGAGCCGTCCGCACCAATCTTGCACCTCTGATACGTCAGGTGGCACCCCTAGCAAAGCTAGAGCTCTGCGAGGGGGAGTCACCAGATGTATCGGAGGTGCAGGTGGTACGGATGGCTCGTAGTTTTCGCCTTATATAAGGCGGAAAGGTGTAGTGCTTCAATATATAGTGCGGACACCTTTCATATTTCATACGAATAGCTGTCCGTAATCTGGGCTACAGACGTTCCGTCATTTTACGAAATATGTCTTGTTTTTACAGACATTTCAGTTTCTAGATTACGGGAAACCATGTCAGCAATATTGAACAGGAAACCTTTGCTGTCAAATGGGAGAAAACGAATAACTGTCCGTAAAGTGAACAACGGACCTTCCGTCATTTTACGAGATTATATGCAGTTTTTACAGAAGGTCCAGTTTCTAGATTACGGGAAACCATCAATATTGAACCGGCAACTTTTGCTGTAAAATGGGAGAAAACGGATAACTGTCCGTGAAGTGAGCTACGGACGTTCCGTCGGTTTACGAAATTATATGCCTTGTTTTTACAGTTTCTAGATTACGGGAAACCATGCTGGCAATATTGAACTGGCAACTTCTACCGGAAAATGGGGCGAAATTTTTTCTGACTGGGCCACTACGTTTGCCTTCTCGCCAGCGAATACTTTGTGTGTGTGTGTGGGGGGGGGGGGGGGGGGGGGGCAGAGAGTGGGTCTTGTTGTTCACAGGATAAGAATGCAGTAGATGCTCCGCCTCCAACGCAAGGCAACAGGCCTATGCTTGAGCAGGAGCTTTTACCTGCTTCTACTGCACTCTTAACCTGTCACTGGCTATATATGGTATTGCTCGAAGTAACCTAGGCAAACAGCTACGGCTTTTTTTTTTTTTTTTTGGCCGACTGACAATTAAAGCTGCGCTGTCAATATATTGCCATCAAGGCGTGATGGTCGGGGGCATTTTCGTTCGTGTTTCTAAACGTCAACCATCGACCGAGACGATATCTGTTCAACTCTCTTCTTTATTTTCATGGAATGTATTGTTGTGACCTGCTGCTTCGGAATTTTTTTCTGGGGATCTTGACATAAAACGGCGTCTCTCAGGAACATCTATTTAGATTCCTCCAGCAACGTCCTCCGTAGTCTAGCGGAGGTGAGCACGAGGCACAACTGAAACAAAGAAAAAGAGCAAATCGCTCAGGTAAGGCGAATCGTCGCTCCAGTCCTAACCTTAAAAAAAAAAAAAAAAAAAGTATTAGGGACAGTAATTCACAATTCACTTTGAAATATTCCACCTCGCTATTATTTCTTTTTGGGGAATGGGAATCAACGTAATGCTGCAATCAAAACACGACACAAACTATTCGCCCGTTTCCCATACTATTGTGACATAACACGGAATGCATTGTGCTTTGCTTTGTGGTGACGTTGAACATATGAATTTGGTGAGCATCTTGTGCGTCGACATCGCGGATGTCGTCGTGCGTAGCGTCTCTGACAGAAAGAGAGCCGAAGCTAGCCCTCCAACGCAAAGTTGTCAACTCTTGCGGTTACACACACCTCACCTGCGGCCCCGCTCTTTCGCGGCTCCTCGCTTTCCCCGAACCACGTGCTATAGCCGGTGAGAGGTAAGGGCGAAATAGAAGTTCCTCCCAGCTCTTTCCACTTTAGCGGAGCAAACACTGGAGAGGAGGCGACCTCTTCTCCAGCGGAAACAGCTGGGAGGAGCTTCCACTATCGTTCTTTCCACTCGTCGCCTCCATATTTTGCAACCATAAGTGCGCTACCTGTTTCTTTGTCATTCTGAATTCTTTGGCGCATTATAGCCTTAGTTGCTTTTGCGTCACAAAACCCCAATCTACTACATCTGAATTCTTAACTACATTCGCCAAAAGTTTAGAAAGAAAAAAACTGTTTTACGCGATAAACCACTTCAGCATTCATACGATTGTCATTCAGAGTGGTTATGTGGTGGAAAGGGGGACAAAACCTCAAAATTTACATCCATAAAAAAATAAAAATAATAATCCTATGAGCTTCGAAAACTTTTGGGGTAGGCTGTAAGAAAGGTTTATTGTATTACTGTTAGTAATGAATAATTTATAACCTTAGAAATATTTTTTTCTTTTTAGAATAGAGTACATTTTAACATGTCACACCTATCTACATGGGGGACTTTGAAAATATGATTGCGCTTCAAGACAGGGACGGAAGTAAGAACGAGACAACACAATGCGCTAACTTAAACTGTTTAATCTTCGGAAAGGCAAGGGAATAAATACTTTGCAGCATCGCGCCATTTAACCAATCCCCTGCCACGCCAGTGCTATCAAGAGCTGTGTCCCCTTGTCGCCCAAATCGATCGACGCCACGCTGACATGTCGATCCCTGTAGTTCTTTTTTTATCAGGTATGCCTCTATGATTTCTCTTACCGTCTTATCTCTGTGTTTTCTAATAACAATGCATAACTTAAATTCAGGTTTGCACCCACAGTCATGGCTGTGCATTGACAAATGAATGAACGCTGCTCGCTCACTTTTTGGTTGTGTTCGCGCAATCTATTTAGACATCGTCCCGCCTGTCCCACGTACTTCCTGCCACACGTCAGAGTCCGTATCAAGATATGACCAAAAAGAAACAGAGAGTGGCGGTTGTGCCTTACATGCACAAAACCGCACGCAATTTCAAAAAGATAGCAGACCGCTTAAATGCTCGGGTGGTCTTTTCTGCACCGGAAAAACTTGCGAAGTTGTACAAACTGACGGACCCTTACCGCAAACCACCGGTTGGCTGCGTGAAAAAGCATCGCAGCACGTTTGTAGAATGCAGTGAAGGAGTTGTCTATCAGATTCCGCTGGCGTGTGGCAGAAAGTACGTGGGACAGGCGGGAATATGTCTAAATGATAGATTGCCCGAACATAACCAAAAAGTGAGCGGACAGCGTGACAATCATTTGTCGATGCACTGCTATGACTGTGGGTGCAAACCTGAATTTGAGTTGTGCACTGTTATTCGAAAACATATATATAAGTCGCTAAGGAAAATCATACAGGTAGACCTGGTAAAAAAAACAACTACGGGAATCGATATGTCAGCGTGACGTCGATCGATTTGGGCGACAAGGAGACGCAGTTCTTGAGAGCATTGGCCTGGCATGGGATTCATTGAATGGCGCCATGACGCAAAGTATTTATTCCTTTGCTTTTCTGAGGTATAAACAGTTGAAGTTAGCGCACTGTGTTGTCTCGTTCTTGCTCTCGTCTTTCTCTTGAAGCGCTATCATGTTCTCAAAGTTTCAGTACCAGCTCGCCTAAGAGCCCGCATTAGGATATGTTTGAAATTTCAAAAGTTATTATATCATAGTTCTACGTGAGCGCGTTGGCGAAGTTAAATAAAACTGAAAAAAAATAAACATGGAGACGGACAGACGGGCACATCTGTCGAAAGATGTGCTGTTCTTTCTGTCTCTGTTTATTATTTCAGTTTGACTTTTTGGTGTCAAATCATATTACTTCAATATGTAAAAATACGTGCAGCTATTTTTTTTTATGCTCCAATTCAGTACGAACGCTTCTATCAACTTTGCTTCTGCATTTTAATTTTCAAATAAAGATTTCAGTATTTCCTAAATATTTGTCTTCAGCCGTATACAGGTGCTGTTACTCTCCGTCCACACTTAAAAAAACGGCTAGTTTTATTATGTTTTTTCAACTATTGCTTTCTTCAGCGGGCGCAGCTTTTATTTAAAAACAAGATTGCTGATCATGTTCAAGCAAAATTTGAACTGTGTATATTTTGTAACTTTATTTATAATGTTGCTGCCTCGAGTTACCCATAGTAATTTTGTTTGAAATTGGGATTGCTGTAGCAGACGAACCATTAACACCAGGGACATAAAAATACTATCGGTCTGTATCTATGAACATCAGCTGTCTGGTGAAGTACGTTTAATTAAAGTGGTATTCATAAATAAATTTATATTTGAGTCCGAATTCATTAGAAACCTTAAAATTTCATATAGATGATTCGGTTTTTGCAAAAAAAAAAGGCAATTTTTTTACTTCGTTAACATTTTTTTTTATAAATTGCACTAGTAATACGGGTAACAGCGGGGAAAACTTCGTGGTTCACCTTTTTTTTTTTGTTGTTGTTGTATTATCTGGACAGTCTCAGAAATAAACCCATTTTAGACCACTTCTGAAATTGTGGTTTAAATGTGGTTGGTTCCCCACCAACGTACGCGAAACCCTCAAGAATGTTTCAACGGTGAAATGACGCCACTGTCTCCATTCACAACCCCTCCCTCTGCCCCTCCCATTCCTCCCTTACCCCTCTCTCCACACGCACGCGCACATACACACGCACACACACACACACACACACACACACACACGCACGCACGCACAAGTTTAAAGTTTTTTGTTGTTTTTTTAAGTCACGTTTAATTGTTTCAATTTATTGCAGATTGAACTTCAAAGCGACATACACGGCCCACAGGCCATACAAAACTTCCTTTGATTTCCCCTTGTCCAATACTCTGACTGACTGATTTTAAAACGAGGAATAATGCTCTTTTGAACTCCAGTAGTGGTATATCTTGATAGCCGATACTGGAGATTCAGTCTGAGTTCAACAACCCGGAGCACACGGACCAGGCTGCTTGTTGAACATTATTAATTGTTCAACAAACAACCTGGTCCGTGTGCTGAACAACACGAGCTCCTAAACGCCATAGCGTTTAGGAGCTCGTGTTGCAGAAAATCCGGCGTCGGCGTCGGTGGGACCAAACAATCCCAGAACGCAACGAACACAGTTACGTGTGACGCCACGCGTGTGATGTCACACGGGGCTGTGACGTCATTACCCTATCGACCCGTTAAATTTAACGTGTAAATTTTCCGACAAATTTAGCGGAAATTTAGCGGAAATTTAGCGAAACCGTACATCACCAGATAGCAGATATTAATAGCTTCGCACCGATAGTATTTTTATGTCGCTGGTGTTAAGGATTCGTCTGCTATAGCAATCCACACTTCAAGCAAAATTGCTCAAATTAACACCCTTATAAGTTAAAAAATGAAAACAATTATGAAAGATCTACAGTTCAGAATTGGTTTGAACATGGTCCGCAATTTTGCGTTTTGCACAAAGAAATATTGTTGTCCTAAGTAAGGTAAATAATCTTTGACAAACAAACAAATTCGACAGACTAAATATTCAAACTAAATTTTTTACGTGTTTCGCTCCGTGGCAATTCAGATGTTTTTTGTTTATTCAACAACTTCTAATTTTTTTTAATGACCATCTTGTTCATCACAGAAACAAAGCAATCGCATATATTTAATAAACGAAAAATTCTAAAGACCCCACAACCCCCCGACAAGACTGTTCGAATTTAATTGAAACCACTTATAATGAGACAGACGAAGTTTAGAAGGTGAGCACGTTGTAAGGATGGATACAGGAACCGACACGACGATATAGCCTCTAATAGTAATTTCTGTCAATACTGCAATTGCAACATGATCCTCGGAACCAATAATTAAAAACTTAATTACGAGGTTTTGGTTAATTAGTAAATTTACCATGACGATTATTTCCTCATCTAGTATCCGCCCGGCCTGATAAATACCTGGTAAAGACATCACTCGTCTAACTGCCCCCCCCCCCCCCCCCCCCGCGCTTTTTTTTTAATCAGTACGGGTTAAAATCAAACACCCTGTATATTATACACAATGGACTCTGACAAAAGCGCCAAACATCCGATCAATCATCGCGTGCGCAGTAAAGTTAGTGAGGTGTACTCACGAGCCAGACGACGACGCAGATGACGCAGAAGATGATGGACGGTAGGAGCATGTTGAAGTAGTCGGTGAGCAGGTCCCGACAGCCCTGCTCGTGGTACTTGAAGCAGGCGCCGTCAGAGGTCTCCACCACGCAACAAGTGCGCGGCACGAACGTCTTGCTGGCCGAATCGGCGGCGCTGCACGAGAGACACCTATCGCACGACTCCGTCACGCGAGCCACTGGCAGTGCGTGACAGTTAAGACCCTGCCAACGCATTGGGTGGCAATAGACCGATCTCACGCCCAGTTTCATCGTGCCACCGCTTTCGCCCGGCACAAACTGTATAGTTTTTTTAACACACAGATTAAGCGCTGACTGACAACTGGTTTATGTCTGGAAAACCACCTACCTCAGTAAAAACAGATGAAAAACGTACATCGGACCATCACCTAAATGCACGTGCCACAGCTGTCCCAGAACGCGGTTTCTTTATCGAAGAGCGCAGTCGAGGGAGCATCTCACACTGAACCTTATACTTAGAAATCTAATAAGCCTCGAATATTTCACGAAACATCCTGTGCCGAGTGACAATCGTCGTCTTTTTCTGAAAGAGGGGAGCACCCACATCTATCACAATGGTAAGATCTTCACCATCGGGTAATTTGGCAATTCATTGTGATAGATGTGGGTGCTCCCCTCTTTAAGAAAAGACGACGATTGTCACTCGGCACAGGGTGTCTCGTGAAATATTCCAGGCTTATTAGATTTCTAAGTATAAGGTTCAGTGTGAGATGCTCCCTCGACTGCGCTCTTCGATAAAGAAACCGCGTTCTGGGACAGCTGTGGCACGTGCATTTAGGTGATGGTCCGATGTACGTTTTTCTTGTGTTTTTACTGAGGTAGGTGGTTTTCCAGAAATAAACCAGTTGTCAGTCAGCGCTCGGTCTGTGTGTTCCTCCTTCTTTGTCCTCCGTACCTTTGGCGCTGTTTCTCTTTTCATAACTATACTGCCTCATCCTACGATGGACTAAAGGTCAAAGCCACAGGCGCCAGGTCCAATCACGTCGCACGTTAAGGTATGATATGTTTACACTGATCAGGGTGGACGAATAATGCTCAGAGTCAAAAAGTGTTGCATCATTTCTGCAGCTTCAACACTGCAAAGAGCATGCAAAGAGCTTTCTTTGCGATGTAAAATTGGTGAGTCACACCGTGCTATTCAATTCGAACCACTGTCCGCCCATTCCCATTAGACGCGGGCACCGACACGGGCATTGAAGCCAAATACCAGACAATTTCCAAGTTGTTCGTGATTGGATCTGGTGGTCTGTAGCTTTTGTCTTTAGTCCATCCTAGGGTGAGACGAAGTATGTGCATAACCAACTCGCCAAACTTTCAACAGTACAATGAGATCGCGTCATTAGCCGATAAGAACGCCGGAGAACAAATCACGGAGCGAGAACATAACAAACCACGCCCACATTAGGTCCGACCGCAGCCAACGCTTGGATCCGATGGAGCCAATCAACGGGCGCTAAAAGTGCATCGTCATGGCGCTCGCCGTCTTTATGCGTTTGCTATCGCCAGCTAAATCAATCGCCCACATTAAATATACGTCCTGATCCAGCGCATTTTTTTATACGATAGGCGCCATGACGATTTACTTTTGGTGCTGCTTTGATTGTCTCCACCGGATCGCACGTCACGTCTGCTGTGTTCGGAAACACGAGAAGGAAAGCTACTACTACTATTAAGCGTTGTTATGTATGAAGAGAATAAAAAAGGGGGGGGGGGGGGGGGGGAGAAGAGGGCCAATTGTGGATGCGCACCGGGCGCGTTTGTCACTGAGGCCACAACCCAAGCGGCACAGATTTGGCCAATCATTGGCCAGTGGCTGGAAATGGTCCTTTGGCCAGTGGCCAGACAGTGGCCAGTCATTGGCTGAAGACTGGCCTTTCTCCGGCCATTGGTCACTGGCCACCAGCCATCGGCCAAGCATTGGCCGATGAATGGCCACTCTTTTTCCATTGGCCAACCCCCAAAATACATCGCCAGCCATTGGCTAATGCTTGCCCAAATTCTGTGCGGCTTGGGAAGGACGCGCGTCCACCCACCGCATCAGAACGGCCCCGGTGGTTGCGGTGGTCCAGTCCGTGTAGTTGCTCACTCCGCAGCACTTGAAGTCCCGGTGCAAGTTATCCAGCTTGTCCCTGGACGAGGCGTCCACGAAGTACTGGTACATGGCGTACTTGAGGTCGTCGCCGAGCTCGACCCGCGCTAGTGTCACGTAGTGGTACACCACATACGAGCAGAACAGGACGTTGAAGATAACGATGATGGCCATGGCGTTGTAGACGGCGCAGCCACGGGCACCACGTCCACCTCCAGTGCGTTCTTTCCTGCATAGGCGCGTGGCGTTTATGGAAAGGTTGAATTCTTGCGATCATTGGAAACGGTTCACTGTATATCATGAAAGGCTAAGACGCTTTCTCTTTAAAAGAAAACTGAAATAAAAACTTATTTTTATAGATTATATGGGGCACATATTTTATTTTCCACAGATTTTTATACGCAATATTTACGAGGTCACGGTCCACTCTAAGCCCCGCCCACAGATCAGTGGCCCCGCCCATTACTACTGGATTGGCTTGGCTGCTCAAGCGAACACGCTCGCAAGCCTAGTGTCTCCCTGTCCCTAAGTCCGATGAGTCTAGTCCGGCTTCTGACACCGCCTCCTAGTTATTTGAGCAAGCGCGATGCAGCCTCCGGCAACGTCTATTATTACACCACCGCCTATTGTCGTCTGCAAGGCCCGTAACACAGGGCCATGAAAGCGGCACGTGGGCGTCCGTTATCGCCTGCGTCCGTCTGTAACGCTTAAAACGCCTGTAACGCTTACAAGACTAGACGCCATGAAAGTGGCGTTCTATTATTCCATCATGCATGAGCCATGATATGATGCAAGCGTCTGTCAGCGTCTGTCGATGGGCCGTAAAAAGCGATCGAGAGGACTAAAGAAATCAATAAACTGTGTATCCAGTCCTTTCAGCTTTTCTGTTTTTTTTTTTTTCTTTTTTTTGCATATCATCCGCGAGCAAGGTGAAACACATTTTTTCGCACGTCATCCCAGAGCAAGAAGCAGACGACTTGCTCGTTTTTGTAGCATCATTACGCACAATTAAAACACGACCTAAAAATGAAAGGCGTTTACAATTTTCTGTAACGCGAAATTAGAGTGCGGCTCTTGAAGAGGACCAGGGAGAGGTACGATGGGGAGTGTGTGCCCCTCCTCCCCCTTCTCCCCTTCTCTCCTGCTCCGCTCCCATAATGAGGAAAATTTTCGCTAAATTTCGCGCTAAATTTAGCAAATATTTTCTCTTTAAATTTAGCGAAACCTTTTCGGTTAAATGTAGCCGGAAATTCACGAAAATTTCCCTGCTAAATTGAGTGGGAAAATTTAGAGGGAAAAGTTTCCCATAATGCAACGCGCGCGGCTACGCCGATGCCGCTCAACCCGGAAACGGGCGCCTAAGATCTGCACTCTAAAATATTTTCCCTTTGACAGGCCAAGTGCGCTTCAAAACTTGAAAACTACTTGTCTTTCGAAGCGAAAGAACGAGAACATAACTGGACACACTTGATGGGAGACGAATGCCCGATTGCCTTCAGCCATATGGCACGCAAATGTTTACCTGTGTAGGTCTCTCCTTGGTATTGAAACCATGGTCGCAATTAAGAAGGTTGCACACTTCAGAGAGCAGCGGGGCATCAACACGCGCAAACGAACAAATCAAGCCAGATCAAGGAAATTAGTGGACGTGGGACGCTAGGCTTAGACGATTTCCGCTACAAAAACGAGCAGCCGCAGAGCACTTCCGAAGGCACGTACATGTGACGATTGCTTGCTGCAAACTACGTCGGTTTAAATCTTTTTCTAAAGACATCGGTGAACGCAAAATGACTCGCGCTCAATAAATAAACGAGCCATGCTCGTTAAGCTCGTTGCAAACGCCGGCAGCCATGTTTGCTAACGTTTGAAACCAAAGCGGAAAACGATATCTAGGGATATTCTAGAAAACAGTGATGACTATATCTAGATAATTTGTTTTTCAAACCTAACAAAATATTGTTCATAAAGATATACTATTACGGCACGGAGAAATAATTTTACAACAAAAATTTCACAAGTCAATCATCTCTCCAACCAATGAGAGACAAGAAATGGTGCTTAGCTGTATGCTAAGCACTTTTCGTAATGGGCGGGGTCAAGAGCAGGGCCACCCCCACCTTAATTGCTTCTAATAGCGTAAATATTGTTTTCGGGGAAATAAAAAATAATGACATGTGTCCCATTAGGCTTTATTTTTTGTTCATTTTAGTGCCCATTTAAGAGGTTTGGTAAATGCATACCGCGAACAAGTTTCCAAGATGCGCCTAACATGTGGGAAACGGGTGGAAGGGCGCGATGGAGAGGTAGCCAAGCACGCGCCGCCACCGGTTGAGATAGGTCACGTACAGGCGCTAGCCAGTATAGTGCTAATCTGAGTATTCCAAGTTAGGTCATCAGAAACTACTAAGCCTAAACATTGTTAGTCGGAGACTTCTTCGAGAGGCCGTGTAAGTAACGTGTAGTTCCGTATTACGGAACTTTTGCTCTTGGTTATGGTGACGGAAGTTTGCTCTTGGTTATGGTGACCTTCGTCTGCCAGGTGTTACACCAGAGTGAAAGCACGTTTAAAGCTTGTTGTAAGGTTGAATGATCATCTGGGTTAGTAATACAAACGATTAAATACTACGCAGTCGTCCGCAAAGAGGCCGATTGAAGATGTGAGACATTCATCATCACCCTAGTTACACCCTTCGTACTCCCTACAGAAAGTGATATATCGTGTGAAAAGTGTGTATAAAGTGTGTCGGTCGAAAAACAACAACAACAGAAACACCTTTTTTACAGAAATAAGGGTGTAAAAACGTTTATTGTCTGTCTTACGAAAAGGAGCCGCAAACAGGTTGAGACATCTCAAATGTGCTGCACTTAACTCTGGCAGTACAAGAATTCCGAGCATTTTCTATTCTGTCCGCTTTCAAGCAGGGAAGTGCTTCAGGTGTGCGGAAGTTTCAACATGTCTTGATTTGTCAAAGGAACCACGCTGTTTCTTTTTTTTTTTCTTCGATATTTTCTCAGGCAAGCTCGCAGCTAGGGTACCTCGGGTGCATTTTATAAGAGAAAGATCCTGCTTCATAATCGCATTATTTTGGCCACCATATTCAGCTCCGTAAGCGTCTCTAGCGACTAAATAAACTACCCTTCAAGACAAATTTTGTTTCACCAATTAAATTTGATTTTTTTTTAATTTAAATCAACGTGGTCAGAAAAAAAAAGTAATTCTTTATCAATAGATATAAGCAGTACGGAACGATACTCATTACAAGTAATAAAATTACTTATAATCGATTAGCCTTTCTGAGTAATTTTTTAATCATTTGAATACATTTATTGGGAAGTAATCACAAGATTAATCCTATTATCTACGGAAGTAATGATATTACGCATAACCTTTGCTATTTTCCCTTTACTTTATTATGGCGCCCTTGGTTTTTGCGAGTTTGATTCCAAGGATTCCTTGAACCAAATCTCCGCCAAGAGGATGCTTTACTAAAATTTGCGTATTAAAAAGGTACGGAAACAAAAATCGAAATATTCAGATTTCGTTCGGAAATGAGTCAAGCATGACGAATAATAACCGTAAATGATAATCGCACTTTTGTATTTTGAACGACTGGCTACATGTTTCGTTCCAAACGGCGCACTCGAGCAAGCGCTCGAAGAGAAACGAGAGAGCACCATGCATCATGGGATATCCGGCACAAACAAAAACAGAAAGAAAAGATTTCCCGCGTTCGTGGAGTAGCAAGGCAGGCGTGGTTATGAGCTTTGCCCTAGGTGGCGTTGTCAGCGTTGTGGTGGTGTTCGAAGTACCCGTGGGGTGACGAGCGTGTGGCTGGCCCAAGGAGCACGTAGCTTCCACAGCACTGTCAGCTTAGTGCTGAACGGGGTGGGGAAAGCAACTTTCGTTCGAGTTTGCACGAACGAGGGTCCGAGAAAGAGGGAAGTCCTTCCTTTCCGTCTTCTTGGACCGTTTAGTACAATGCGCGATTTGTGAGTTGAGCTAGGAGGAAAGCTAAGAAGGAATATGTTGAAATTCCAAAGGGCGGCGCTGCTCCGAGGAATCTGCCACGTCACGACTACGTAGCAAGTTCGCCAACGTTGCTAGATTACCTTCCAAATAGGCTCCGCATGCATCCACCAGGTGCACATTGAAAGATCGTTTATTTAGCTTTAAAATTAGTCTTCTTGTGCCTTAACGGAAGACTGGTGTTTTTGAGGTTAGGGTGCAACATGCAGCACATTCAAGCTAGAAACAGAGCGCTGGAATTTCGTTTCCCTACCCTTTTAAGAAGATAAGTAGTTGATAGTTTGGTGATTCTAATTCAGCGCTGGACAGTGCGAGAGGCCCTTTTTTTTAAATCGTCAGAAAAACGATGTCGCTTTGAAAATATGAAGTGAAGTAACGGTTACTTCTTTTTTAAAGTAAAGGCCTTTTTTTCAGTACTCAAGTGATCTGCCGGGTGTCTCTAACAGCGGCCAGGCTCTTTAAATCGACAGCAAAAAATTTTAACTTATCGCGTTACGATTTTGTGCAGCGTTGCCCACAGGTGGTGCATTTTTTCTATAAAATTTGCCGAGATCCAACTTACCTAAGGAAAAAGTAAAAACAGAAAAGGGCTTAACTCCTATAGGAACGCAGCAAAGCCACCGATCTTCAAATCATAGGGTGCGTATTGTTTAAAGACCGGTGGCTTCGCTGCGTCTCCATAGGAGCTCAGCCTTTTCCTTTCTTTACTTTTTCCTCAGGTAAGATGGCGCTTTGTAAATTTTGCAAAAAAAAAAAAAAAATGCACCAACTGTGGACAACGCCGCACAAAATCGTAAAGCGATAGGTTAAAAACCCGATTTTTGCTGATCCTGGGCCGCTGTTTGAGACACCGGGTAGTAGAATACTTTTAAACAGGAGTAATTATAACTGTAATCGATGTATGGCAATTTTTTTCATGAATCCGTCCTATCATTGAGAACGATGCGGATGGAATATTTACAGTAAACTTAAAGTGCTGCCTAATTAACAATTCTTTATTGATTTCAACCCCGCATATCTAGAAAAATAAAGCTTTTTTTTTTGCGTTTTGATTTTTTTACAATATGACATTATTTCTTTCGCGTTTATTTCTTCCTTTCGCTTTCTGATTCTTTTTGCAATTGGAGATTACGTAAATAGCAAAATGGATGGTGGAAAAAAAAAACTCGATCAACACTTCGATTCACCTAGAAGGGCACCGCTTATTGCCAATTATAAATATTTTGTGCTTGAATATAGTTTGATTTACATACAAAACAAGAGCACATAGGAAACGCAAATGGATAGAAAAAGTAAATTATTTTGCTGATATTTTTTGTGAGAGAAGCGCAGTGATCATTGGAAAATTGGTGTAATATAAATCACGATTTAAATCATAATTTAAATCATCGTGATTTTTATTCTCCACCCTGCTTCAAAGCAAACGACACTTCAATTGTCAATAGACCCTTTCCGAAATTCAGTCTGGCCACTTTGATCACTATCATCATCATCTGAAAAATGGCATATGTGCCATACCAATGGCGGCTTTCTGTTTACTGATGAAGGAACATGTTGAAGATACTCCTAAGCTGAGGATTCGAGGCCTATCCATTCTAGACGTTAGCACGTTGCGAAACCGGAATTGAATGCAAGCGCTGCGTAACTGTTCATTTATCTAATTCGAGCCCAGTGAACCCGTTTGTGGCACAAAATCGACTTCGAAACCCCTTGACTTATAGAACTGTATCAAGGCGTCTGTCGGGTTGGCGCTTCTTTCTGATTGGTTGCATCGTTGTGGGAATCGACACTGGAAGAGATGATCCAGAAAAACCTGTATAGCGAAAGGTTTATTCTCGTCTGCCGTTGGCATGCAAAAGTGACGGTGCCCGATAAAATACTGCAGGCTACGGGTTCATCGTCGCCATTCGTATGGCAAAAGTTAAACCGCCATTTCAGCCACCAGATGGCACTGAATTTCGGAAAGGGTCTATTGTTGCTTAAAATAGTCGGTGCTGGTTATCTAAAGCTTTATCTGAAATTGGAAGAAACGCTCTTCCCTCCTCCAGAAATGTTCAAAGATGCCGTGATAGTGCAACACGATAACGCACGAGCTTCATAAAACCCATATCTAAAGCTCAGTAAGCCGCGTTTTCGAGTCGTTACTATTGCCAGTTAATAGCACCCGCTCCGAATGACACGACCAAATGATAGCGTCTTCACAATACAACCTGGGTAAAGAGTGTCGATGCTCCGAGCGAAAGTTATTTACTGGCTCTGGGCGCTAGATGTCTTTCAAGGCGCCGTCGGAGACAAACGGGTTCCAACGAGCTCACCTGCGCAGCTTCCAGGAGACGGCGACGCCGAAGGACGCCACTGAAAGCAGCACCAGTCCGCAGGCCATGAAGAAGTAGGACACCTGCGAGGTATCAAATCATGTCCAGGGATTGCCCGCTCCGCTGTCCGGAGGCCGTCGTCTGGATCATGTTAAAAAGCACCCGACACTGTGGTAATCGATGGGATAATTAGTAGAAGAAAAAGGACAAAAGGAAAATGACACGTGAAAGCAGTTCAATGCGTTTCTTTTCCTCTGCAAATTTTCTTCCTCTAAGCTTTTTCTTCCTTTTTTTTTTTTAAATGCCATCTCGGGTAATTTTTAACATGATCAACATCCACCAGCTCGCCTGCGCACTCGTGGTGCTTTTGTCATCTGGGTTAAAGTTATTAAGAAGCCACGCTTGGAGCATGGACACTCGAAAGCCTGCGATATCCGCGCGTAATCCGGCCGCAAAATAGTGATGGGACGAATCACTGGAGATTCGGGTTTGGCCAGATTCGGAAATTTCCAAACTTTCCGCGACGAATATTCAGCAGATTCGGAGATTCGTCAGATTCGTCGCTGGTTGCAGACGGCAGTGTGAACCTTGCCGTAAACCTCGCGAATGCGGTCAGTTGTGTTTTTTTTAGGTTCTGTTACTGCATATAACCAGATTTTGTCTTGTTTATTTCAACGTATGGTATGTACTGTACTGTCATTCTAAACCCTGGCACGCGCACAGGTCCAGCTGAGCTGATCTGTGCGATTGACGCAGGTCTAACCAAGGCACGGTCTCAGTGGGTTCCGGAAGAAATGTCCCCAGAAAAAAACGTACCCGGAAAATAGGTATAAGGTTTAACAGCGCAAACAGACAGGGACAATAGAAAATAACACCAACGACAGGGACAAGGCGCTACTTTCGGCTTTGTTAGCTGCCTTACTCAGCCCATCCAAGTTCAAGTCTTTCAGCATCTTCAGTGCCGCGGATTTCTGTTGCTTCGTCTAAGGCGAAGCCCCCTTTTGGAAAAATCGTGAGTGTTTTGAAACAAAGGGAATTAGCACTTGTGGAAGCCGATAAGGAAGGTGGGTTTGTAGTGATGCCAGAAGGGATGTTGCAGGAAAAGCCACTAGTTGCCATTAAAAAGAGTTTTAAGGCAGTAAAGTTTTTACCGAAGCAACAGAAATCCGCGGCACTGAAGATGCTGAAAGACTTGAACTTGGATGGGCTGAGTAAGGCAGCTAACAAAGCCGAAAGTAGCGCCTTGTCCCTGACGTTTGTGTTATTTTCTATTGTCCCTGTCTGTTTGCGCTTTTAAACCTTATACCTACCATGGACCAGCTAGCCCAAACCAAAGCTTTAATGAGTCATATTTCTTCTACTATGGGCCCTTTCCTATTTCATCACGTTCAGCAAGATCCTGCCATCACTTGCGTCATTCTCATCGCCATTTCAACGTGCCAATCCCGGATACTTACCTTCTGCATGAAAAGGAAGTATGTGCCACTGGAGGTTCAAGCGCTTTTTGTGGTACTGGAGCCATCATGGGGACATGCCAGAAGAATGTGCAAAATTCTGAAGTCTGAATATTGGAGACAGGTTCGGCTTTATCTTGACTGGCTACGTGTCGTCGTGCAAGAAGGGAAAGAACACCAAGATAACCTTCGGTTTGCCGAGTACAATAAATTAGCATCCCAAACTACGGAGTTCCTGTGGCAGCGAGCTCGGCTAAACCTTCCACCCAAGAGGAAGTTTGCAGCGGGGGCTACGGACAACGTCACCCTGCTGGGGGACGCCACCATTCCAACATAGGTCAAAGACATCCTGGAGAAAGGTCCCAAGCACAGCTCCCAGCCTCCCTCTACACGACATGAGCTTCTAGCCATGGTTCACAAGGTTGCTGATCGGGTCAACGAACAAGACCGAGAGAGAGCCATTGGTGATGGTGTGGACTGATTGAGAAGCACTACAAGTCATATGTCTAAGGCGAAGCCCCCCTTTAGAAAAAATCGCGAGTGTTTTGAAACAAAGGGAATCAGCACTTGTGGAAGCCGATAAGGAAGGTGGGTTTGTAGTGATGCCAGAAGGGATGTTTCAGGAAAAGGCACTAGCTTCCAATAAAAAGAATTTTAAGGCAGTAAAGTTTTTACCGAAGCAACAGAAATCCGCAGCACTGAAGGTGCTGAAAGACTTGAACTTGGATGGGCTGAGTAAGGCAGCTACCAAAGCCGAAAGTAGCGCCTTGTCTATGTCGTTTGTGTTATTTTCTATTGTTCCTGTCTGTTTGCGCTTTTAAACCTTATACCTACCATGGACCAGCCAGCCCAAACCAAAGTTTTAATGAACCGGAAAATAGGTTCCCGAAAAAAAAAGGCCCCAGGTAGAAAACAGGAAAAAATGTCCCCAAAGGGTTCCCTATCGCTGGGTTTCCCCACATTCTCATGGCCTTCGGGCGGTCCTGCCATTATCCGGTCACAAATGACCTGACCCACCTAGAGATAGAAAGGGAGACTGGGAGTCACACAAAGCAACCGAAGTAATCTATTGTGCGGTATTTTGGAAACCAAATTATTGTACTCCCCGAAACAAATTTCTTTTCTATTGTGAAGTAAACATTTATAATACTTCTAGCCAGAGCCAAAATATTGTGTTTGCGGAAATTTCAGAGATATACTTGTGTACCATTTCAAGATAGGTAAAAAGCACGACACTGTTAGCACAAACAAGCGATCGCTAGATTTTTTTTTTCTTCTGTTTTTCTCGTAGAAACGAAAGGTTGTCATAAAAGCTATCATTGGTACTGAAAGTGCTCATTTGGGGATATAATGCAGACGGTAAAGTTCCGTTCCCATTAATACTTTTTCTAAAAAAAACGTGAAATGCGCCGATGTCGTGTTCGCGCTAACAGTGTCGCGATGTGTACCTCGGGGAATCGTATATTTCTTTATTTGTTTTTTCCTACTTGCCACAGGGTGCCCTTTTTTTTCCCAAGGGCACATGACCGGACCGCCCGAAGGCCATAACGATCAGGGAAGCTCATAGATAGGGAATTCTTTGGGGACACTTTTTTCTACTTCCCACCTGGGGCCTTTTTTCCTGGGACATTTTTTTCAGAGACTTTTTTCCCGGGGACATCTTTTCCATGGACATTTTTTCCGAGGACATTTTTTCCTACACCCAGCTCGAATCATATGGATCCTCAAAACACACCGGAACCTACACCCTCTGAAGACGGAGTTTCGTCCCAACCTCTCGACCAGAGAAAGCCTGGCGCTTATACACAAGGACATATCTGAAAACCCTGCCAATACAATGCCCAGAACGATGGTCGCCATCGACATAAAAAAGGCTTTTGACACAATACATCACGTCACAGTAATCCGCGCTGCGGAGAGAAGAGGACTACATGGACGCTTACTGAACTTCAACAAGGCATTCCTGAAGGACAGGCAGTTTCACGCAATCATCGGTCACGCCAAAGTAAACCCCAAGCCTAACCACATCGGGGTCCCCCAAGGGGCGGTCACATCCCCCACTTTATTTAACATGGCATTGGCGAACCTGGCCTTCGAACTCCAAGAGATCGATGGCCTAGGATTTACTATATATGCTGATGATGTCGCCTTATGGACTATTAAGGGAACCGCCTCGAAACAACAGGCTATACTTCAAGAAAATTTAAACGTCACCAAAAAAAAACAAAAAAAAAACAAAAAAAAAACGGGATTGCAATGTCTACCGAAAAGACTGCCTATATGACCGCCAAGCACAACATCCAGCTATTCGTTAACGGTGCTCCCATACAACCAAAACATAGCATCAAGGCTTTAGGCCTAACTTTTAACGAATACTGGAGCTACAAGCTGGCAGAAGCAAATTAAGGCCCAGTGGAAAGACGGACTACACCTCCTCAAACGAAGTACCAGCAAATCATGGGGATGTCAGGAGGGCTTGCTAGGAAGATTGGTCCCAGCGCTGCTCGTCTCAAGAACAGTTTACGGAATAAACTATCTTAAGCCTGCTTCAGACAGTTGCGTTTGACTGCGTTTGACTGCGTTGCGGCTACGACAAGCCAGGATATCCCTGCTGCTTATATCGCGTGCCAAGATGATTCCTTGAATTGTATTCCACGCTTCATACGTAGCAGAAATGTGCAGGTGACTCGCTTTCGGTTCTCGACGCAACGCAGTCAAACGCACTCAAACGCAAGTGTTTGAACCGGCCTTTAGGCTCACAGCGACGCAAATGGAGAAACTCGAGGTTCTCAACAGACCCGTCATGAGGGTCATCACAAGCCTGCCAAAAATTACACCCATCACGGAACTGCACAAAGCAGCTCAGGTCAACACCATCGAAGAGATCGCACAAGAAATGTAGATTAGTCAGAACAACAGGCGGGAAAAGACATGGCACGGACGCATCCTACCAGAAAAACTAGGAAAAAGGACGTAAAGCACCTTCATGCTTCAAAAGTAGCGCAAGGTGTGTCGGTGCACGAGGCACGTGCAACGTGCAGCACTTGGGAAGATCATGGCGGTGCAGCGCAGCAGTGAGCTAAATTTCAGAGCCATGTTGTTCCCGGAAGTGGCGCGCGGCACGGGTCTCCAGCATTTCCATAACAAAGAATGGCGCCACTTTTCCCAGGATAAAGGGGCTTTAGAACGACGTGGTGCATTCCAAGCAACCAACTATCTCCGCCTCCGTGGGAGGACGAACCAGTCGTCTCCCTCAAACGCACGCCCATGAATCAAGGTGAAGGACACAGGAAACGTCGCGAAGCTGCAGCAAAAAATACCTGGAAGACCTCGGAAGGCTCAGGGAAGGGGAAGACGTCGAAATCCTAGGTATGGACGCAGCTAGAGACAACGACGGGAGAACGGCCGTGAATCCCGGAGAAAAGCTCACCGGAGAAAAGCTCACCGGAGAAAAGCTCACCATAGAAAAGCTCACCGGAGATAAGCTCACCGGAGAAAAGCTCACCGCAAAACCGGTGGATGCGGAGAAAAGCTCACCGGCCATTGAGCGTACGTACGCGGAGAAAAGCTCACCGATTTCTTTCCTTCTTTTTATATGGAGGCTGTTCAGTGTTGGATCATGCGTAACA